TTTTGTTCGAACTATAATTGTTTAAGAAAAAACTGTCGTGCGTGACATTTGAGATCAGTGTATAATTAGCACACGTTTATTTTGCTGCTTTTTTTACTGCATGAAACAATGCTAACCCTGGCAGTTTTGGCTAAAAAACATTGGTTAACCTAATGAGGTTCATGACGTCATACCTCGTAAATGTTGCAACGCACTATGATAAAATCTAGACAAAACAATTCTGAATGGAAGGCTAATAAAGAGGGAATAGCATTGGTCAATTTATTTTGAAAGAGGAATAACATTCATCTACCTCTCGATTGGCTGTTAAATTGTTGTCAACCTGTGTCAACGTACATGCAGTTTCTAGCTCTGGCACTTTGAAGGAACAGACCAATTTCGATATATGAAAACTCATACCTTGTGCGGAAGCTTGGGGGAAGAAGAAAAAAGTAATGGAATGTTTATTGCTGAGCCTCAAGATATTCTTTTGCTCTATTCCCTCAAGCCTCGCAGCCAATAGGCCACTTACACGATGACGTCATTTTACTACTACAACCAGAATCCTTCAGGGTTTTGCTTTCCTGTGCAAATTAGGGCTTTTGTTATTTAATCCTCGCTGGGATTACCAAATTTAAATATGAAGGGAAAAACGTAAAGGTTTCTGTTCCTAGTAGTAAAATGACAGCATCGTGCAAATGGCCTATTATAGAGAATTTTAATTGATCGAAATTGGTCTATTGAATGCAGTGATATTTCATACGTTATTTAGAAGCTCTCCAATCATCCCGTTCCAGGATCCATTTTGCAATTTCGCGCCATAGAGCCCGTCAGGAGATGTTTTAATATGATATGAGAAATGAAGTCTTTTGGCAAGTTCTCGTAGCAGGTCGATGCAGTACCCTTCATATGTAATGCTTCCATCTTCTTGCGTTTTGAGGACGACAAACGGCTCATCCTGTTGAGGTTATGAAAGGTGGACTCTTACACTTACAGTGTCTAAGGTACTTAACAATTGTTTTCTAACCAGCCCAAGAAATTACTAACTAGGTCAAAACAGTAATGATTTGTTCTCTCCATGTACGACAAAACGACAATATTTGATCATCCGGCATCCTTGAAATGTAATTGGTCGACATCTAACTGAATCATAAGATCATTTAGGGTTATATTGCAATTGAGTAATTAAAGGCCGGTAACGGACTTCTTGATTGAGTACATTGTATTCTTGATTAAGTGAGATAATGGCGTTCTCCGGCCAAGGATCGCCAAGAAACCTCTTTCTAATTAGAAAAAAATCTACAATATATAGCCAATACATTCATGCAATATATTAAGTGCATACCTCTGTAACAACAACACGGAGAGTTCTGCCTGCTAGACCGCCGCCATGAAATTTGTCATTCATATTATGGTGTATATTTTCGAACATTACGGCTTTCGTCGTTGCATTCCATGTCCCTACCTAAGGAAAGAAAACACAATAGCGTGAATCAAAGAGAGTTGGGAAAAGCTAAGAAATGGTACTTCATACCTCAATCTATTTATTAAAGTTTCGCCCTCATTAAAATTTTGCCTGTTCCTTGACAGATGTGAAGGATCTTTACAGCAGAAATTCTTCGAGAAGCTGTGGTCACCCGTTGAGTAGAATCGGTATTCTTGCTAAGTACATGTTTTCTGGCAGTACTTTGGGTATTTCTTCCCTTGCATAACGTGTGCAATCTCCCGCCATTTTCTCCAACTCTGTCGAAACAGCCGTAAGGTACCATGCTACTGCTGTCCCCAGGGGGGGCTGGCAGCGAGGTCTGGAACCGAGTTTACATGATCGCCCCAGTTAAGAAATTCGGCCGAGTGAGGCTGAGTACAAATTTTCCTTGAAAACAAATATGGCGGAGAATGCAGACATGGAAGGACGATGAGTTTTTGCTCGGTTTTAAGTTTTCCCGCGCACAAATCTCAAGAAAAGGTTCCTATGAACTTTTTTAAAGGACCTTTTGGACATCAGAAGGCGTGATGTATGAACAGTTCATGGGTGACTTCACTTACGTGATTCGGGATCTCGGCAAGTTCAGTTATTTTTAAGCTTCGTGAATTTTCGAGCGACCACCTTGCTCCATATCTTATATTTTTCCACTTACAGTGGTATTAAGACTTTCTTCCTTATCTTAAACATATGCTACGAGCACGATATATTGGTATGAGTCTTGCAACAGTCCTATATCACTATGTGAGTGTTCATTAAACCACTGATTTTCTACTTCTCTATTCGTAAGTTTGTTTGTACACCGGGAGGCACAACAAATGTTTATAGGCGTAAATACAGAATACAGGGCCAATTTAGTAAAAACCAGGGTAAATGTTCCAATCATTTTGCTTCACATATAAGCTATTTTTAATATCAGAAGGCTGGGAGGGGTTTACTGAACCTTCAAAACCTTCACTGAAATGTCATTGGAGTGATAATCAATAAATTTCCAACAGCAATACCGCATTAGTTTTGTATTAGATAGTGACTTCGGTTTCAAGTATTTCCTTGAAATTGTTGGTACAAAAATTACCGTTTAGTTATGAATTGTACTTGAAATGATTACAGTGGATTAGTGTAAGAACAAGAGGCTAATTCAGTTGCTAATAAGGGTGAGTACATCAGGATAGAGTATGCGTTGAGAAAATCCCTCAAAGGACTGAAGTACAAGAAACAAAAAAAAAACTGAATGTTTTGCAAAGTTTATAAAGAGAATCAGAAGAGGCTTGAAAAATATACAACTTAAGTTTATTGTTTGTGCAAGTTATGAATCTGATTTACAACTAAATTATACCAGGTAAAATTGATTTTTTATCAACCATCAAAAGAAGTCATTGTTGGGCTTGAACCCTATCCTCAGCAGTTCTTTCTACGATATTACCCTTGGATTATTTGGCCTAGATGGGTATGTGCTGCTGATTTAGGGTGGTGACCATTTCACCCTCAAGAGTTTTGAACAAGGTGTCTGTTTGGGTTGTGAAGGTTGAAGAAAAAGCGGTCTATAGAGGACGTACAGTCTATTGGTACCACCATTTCCCCCCCAAGTTTTGCCATGTTTCTAAGTTTAAAAGCTACCTCAATTCTGTATGTTAATTAAAAAGGAAATGAATCAGGATTATAAAAAAAGGTCTCTTGGCTTAAAAAGGGTAGGGGAATGCACAATGTGTCCTACTACCCATACTCTCTTTCAGTGTAAGCCCAGGGAGGTGATCCCACATTTAAATTCCCTTTTACCACTTGTTGTAACAGCAAAGTCAGTGTAGGTTTATGGTCTCTGAAAAATATTTTTGCCAGCCTCAACACAAGTTTCTAACCGTTATTGTTGACTGCAAATAATATTATCTTAATAATCATTTTACATCTTTTTTCTCAGGCATCCTATGGTGTTTTCAATATCCACTAGTACAAGGCAATTTTTAAGTTGAGAGGGTTTACTTTGATTTCATTAACAGTAAAGTACATTTTTACACAGACACCAACTAACTTGGCAGGTTGATGTCCAAAGGTGTAAAACATTACATGCAACTATATGGCAAAAACTGATCACAGTGGCCAAAGGAAAGGCAAAAATAGAAATGTCATCATTTTTTTAATTTTATAAATTCCCTTTGAAGCATATTTAGCCAGATGTAGTCCTTGTCAAAACATGCAAACTTGAACTTTTATTTTCTGACCTTAGCTAATATTGTTTTAAGCCATACTCTTGTTCCAGTGGGTAGCGTAGTTTTTGGAATAAGATATTTATAATTTCTCCCTCTTTGTTTGCAACAAAACAAAACACAATTGAATGAGGACTCAAACTGAAGGCAGTGTAGTAACTGCTGTCATGAAAAGAGAATTCCAAACACACAAAATAATTACCCTTTCATTTGTCCATATTCATTTCTTAGAAACTACGGTAAAGTTTAAATTAAATCACACGAAGACAAGAACTTAAGCATATCAAGAGTGAATGATCTCTTGGCATAATTTATTTAGCTTCTAGTACATAACAAAATACATGAACTACGAGATTTGACCAAGCCACTCAATCATCCAACGCAACTCTGTCGGGATAAGTTCACAATCAAGGGTACAGAATTAAGAGTCTCAATCATCATTTCTTTTCGTCTTAAAGGTGTAATAAAACCGTAAACAACTGTGACAACTCTTCTACTTGACCACGGCCACCGCGCTTTTTTTAATATCACGAAGGATTAATTTTCGGCCTTTCACTTGAAAATATAAACTCTTCTACATACGCATTGGAGGGTTTGCCCTTCTTTTAGTCTTGTGGGTCTTCCAAACAGAAACACAGCTTGAAAGCCTGTTGTGAGCCAAAAGGTTGGGCATCGAGGAAAATGTACAATGACCTTTCACTGGTCTCGTTCTTAGCGTAGAAAACCGCTTGTAATGACAAACACAAGATCAGAAGAAAGGAAAACGTAAGCTCCACATTACTGCGGGAAAAATCGGTTACACCAAAGAAAGCAATGACCAACAGAACCAAAAGCGAATTCACTTCACACTGTCGAATCGCTGCGAAGACGAACTTCTTGATGTTGTTCCCAGCCCGTTTCGCGCATGCTCGCTACAGTTCTCGAATGATTGACAGATTTCTTAACTGGGGCGATCATGGAAAGCCGAAAAGCGGCAAGATCAAAGGCCGTTGCCAGCCCCCCCATGGCTGTCCCCTTTTCTGTCGATATCTCTACAACTGACGTCAATTGTAATGATATCAGCAAATTTGAACGACTTTCAAATTTTTTCAAAGGTCCCTAGTTGAAGGTTTTGAGCCAATCAGAAACGGATAAATATTTTACTAACAAGTGAATCCTGTATGATGTTGATTATAACTTCCGCCTATCAATTAACTGCACATTTCTTCTTTGAAGCGTTATAGCCTTTTTCTGCAATTTTCACGCCATGTCTATTTATTTGCATTGCATCACGTGTGTTTTCCCCTTTTTTTCCCAAGGAAAACTGTGATCGATTTTAGGGGTACTTACTTTCCTGAAGGAATCGTTTCTCAGATTCAAGATTTCCAGTTGTACTCCTGCTCTCTTTCCATCCTGGCTAAATCTAACAGGTCCTGTTATGCCTTCAAACTTTACCTGTTGAAATAATTTAGGTCCCAGTTGTTAAAATGGGTAATGATACTTTCCATTGGGTCTTAATTCAGTGGAAAATAAGGGTTTCCTTAATACTCTTACATGTATTATTTATTATCATCATCATCCTCATCATCGCTAATTCTATATTATATTCTTATTAACATTTGATGATCGAGGAGTAATCAATAGGAAATGAAATATGAATTAGTTCGACTTGGCAATATCATGAAGAGGTGGAAACAGAACGCTTCGAGAAACTCTCATAACACAGTGTGTGTAATTTCGTCTGCGACCTGTTCATCAATGCAAACTCGGGCGAGGGGAAGGAAGGTAATTTGCTTCAAAATAATTGTCCCTCACCTTTGTCAAGCAAGAAAACATTGTTTCGCGGTCTCTAGAAGTAACTGCCGAGCCGTTAACTGACAAGCACGGTTCTACAGTATGAGCCTTGTTGATTACTTGCACTGCATCATAAGCAACCGCAGCAAGTTCCTGTAGGGGATATTATTGTAAATAAGAATTAATACAATGGATGCGTTTAATTTGATACATGCTATTTGTACAAAAATAAGTATAGGCACTGAAAAGTATAGGCGCTATATAAATATTTATTATTATTTTTGTTTTTATTTTATTATTATTATTATTATTATTATTATTATTATTATTATTATAAAAATATCACTTTTGTTTGTTACTGCCTTCGCTCATTCGCAGATGTGCTTGCAGTTACCTTTCCAAAGTAGTCGGTATTGCCTTCTTTTTCCAATTCTTCACGAGCAAGATTCTCATAATAAGGAAGTTTGTAGGTTAGAACCACATACTCTGGTCGACTACTTAGGTTTCCTGGTACCTGTGGTGAATTACCCAAAAAAAAGATGAAAAACAAAAGCAACAAACAACCAAACAAAAAAGGTTTGTAATTTCAACTTGAGAGCCTCTGCGTGGGGTCTTACCGTTGTTCATCATTACAGCCCTATACTTGAGATTAGGCAAAGCACTTTATTTTTTTTTACGAAAATAAAGCAGATGATTTACAGTTAATAATTTTGGGACTTTTTATTCCCTCTACGGTATTAGTATAGGTAATAGCATGGTTTGTAGTGATATTTGGCATAAATACCGCGAGTGATATTTAGAATTTGAAATTTCAGCGTTAATTTGTAATTTCACTTGTGAAATTACAAAATTGCCATGGCAACCCTTCCGTGCGTCTCAGTGTCAAGATGGCGACGAAGTTTTAAAATGCCATGAGTGAAGATGTCAGGGCACAAAAAGACGCTTTAGAAAATCTGAACACCCAAGAGAACATCAAGAAGGATTCTAGCAGGTATTTTGCCGAAAAAGTTTGAAAAATTCTGAACTTTATAAGCCAAACTAAAGGTGTAAACATTTGAGAGAGTGGAGTTCTCGATCGATACGATCCAGGATAAACATGTCAAAAATCCAAGATTGCTAACGTAATTCGTGACCCATGATATTAATAGGTAATCAAATGGTATACTCGTGAAATTAGGGAATAATTTCACTTGCGTTTTGTCCAAACCCTAATAATTTTTCTCGCCTGAAGGCTAGGGAAATTATTAGGATTTGGACAAAACGCGCGTGAAATTATTCCCTAATATCACTCGTCACCATTTGATTACACATACTAATTTCACGAGCCGTTAGGGGGAGTGAAATTTGAGACAATTTTTGAAATATCACGAGTGGTATTTATTCCAAATATCACGTACAAATCGTGCTATTTTTTGTTTATGCTACTACCCATAAAAGGTTTGTAATTTTCACATGTAGGTATTTCAAATTAAACTGAAATAACACTGCTCTAAGCCAATCAAATTGCAGACATTTCTAATGTAGTAGTATAGTGCCTAAACGCCCTCCGCTTTTAGCTTGACTGTAAAACTTTGCAATTTGACTTCTCCACCGCGCCCCGTCGGCACGGTCCACCAGCGACCCTGAAAAATTCATCGATAGCAGGAAAATGTTATGAGGTGACTTTTGTTGTAAATTCCCCTTTGATTTTCTTGTAGTTAACATGTTCTAAAAATTTGCCAGCTGTTAGGTCGGTTAACAAACCTGTCCTTGGAGTATCCAGGTATAGCCATTGACGTTTACACAGCTCTTCTGGAGAGGCAAAAACAGCCAGTTAAAGTCCAAAGTAACTACCCTAACGGCATCGCTCGTGTTCAGTCATGGCAGGTAAAGAAACGGCTTTGCATTTAATAGTAAGGAAACGAAGATGGGGGGGGGGGGGGGGGAGACAAAAAAAGCCCCCTTTAAAAAAGGATAGCAAAATCCCTACATAAAAAAACGAGCACAAAAAAAACACAGTTGTTGAGACATCTTTTTTTTTTACTGCGCTCATACAGTGTCTTTTTTTCTTCATCTATTTGTTTT